AGCTGGTATTGCTTGACTTTATCCATTTCTCTCATCATGCCCAGGCCATGTTTCGAATTGAGTCTGTTTGGTGGTCAAGGTGAGACGGTGCTGAAAGGCATGATTTGGACCGCTCACTTTCTTTGGACGTCAGGGGGCGGTACGGCATTCATCCATTCCTCTGCCAAGCCTTTATACTCCTCTTTCTCAGTGTCTGTGAGACCACCCATTACTTCCTTTAGGCCTTGTTGGTATTTAGCAAGAAACACTCTTGACCCAGGTGGCACGCCCTTTGCGAGCCGAGTCACGACCTCATGTATTTGCTCCTGGCGCAGGTGCGCAACTACATATCTGGTGGAAATGAGTTTGACATATCCAAACTTCGGCATCCTGATGCGTCTTCCATGGTTTTGAAACCACTCTTTGATCTTCTATGGCAAAAGTGTCAAATGAGCAGCAGTATGACTAGCTAGCACCCACCGTCTTCCTCTCCTTCCACTGCTCCTCTGTAAGCAGGGGGGGTGCCTTGGCCTTCATGAGTCTGTATACCTCATACATCAGCAGCTTCTTTCTTTCTTCCTTCGTTTTGACACAAAAATCTTCTAGGTATTGTCTGAGAATTGCCGACTCCTCTGAAGAGAACGGTTTTCGTCCTGGAGTTGGGGGCCGTGGCCAGCAAGTCTGCAACAAAGGCATGTCTGGAGTCACAGGAATGTTCGGTGGGAGTGGGCTCACAAATTATCGTCGAGAGGGCAAAGGGGGCAAGGCAGCACAAACAAATTGCAAAGACCTCAAGGATTACATGTGCCCGGCAAAGAGCGCCAATCCTGACGAGCCCTTGACCATATTCAGGTGAGGACCTTTGAAACTTGACCTCATCTGGATATCAGTACCTGACGCCGGTCCCCCCAAAAAGGCAATATCTGATGCGCCAGGGCATGCTATCTGATGCGCCAGGGCATGCCTCTATCTGTGCAGAGATCATGTATCCTGCCTTACGGCAACGCACTTGGTGAGTGATGTATCCTGC